AAAGTGTCCTCCGAGCCAAGCGGCTCATCCCCATGTTTTCACGAGCTTGCCCTGAAAAGGTCCTGCGGGTTTTTCGCGCGATCCGGATTATTGCGCCGCGGGCGTCCGCCAGCAAACTGCATTTTTCGCCTCGCGAACAAAAAGCCGCGGCTATTATATAAGAAAAAGGCGCCTTTCCCGAAGCGCTGCCCCTCACCCCACAAGCCTAAGATATTCGGCTGCGTTCTCGATAGACTCTCTCGACCCATTCACGCGGACTTTTCACACCGTCGTATGATCAGTGGGTGGGTGAGGTAGGGAGGGAGGGGGGAGCAGTCGGGGTTAGGCGGAGGCGGAGACGGAGGCTCGCATGAATGGAATTCGCGTTTCACGCGGCACGTGAATCCTTCGCTGCTGCCCTCTGACTAACGCTCGCATTGGATTATTTGAGCAATGCGTCGCGGTTTACGAGTCCTTCCGCGCACACAATCTGCCGAATTCGTACGAATCGCCGTTCCTACGAAACACGTGGCTGCTCGTTAATAATCGTAAATAATTGTTTGCCCACTTATTGTTTGCCGAGCGTACTCGTGAGCTTAGCGTTATCGAGCTGCGCGGGTCATTTAATGATAGTACGATTGCACGGCCTTAAGGACCTTCTCCCTTCGACGATGCAGGTTCTCGGAGCCGTAGCTCGAGACGTTCTTCGCAGCTGCTACGTCCTCGGCGAGTCGTCCTGTTCGTTCTCCACTAAGAAGGGAGGATGAAAACAAGTGATATCTCTTTGCATTTCCTTCTGCTGTTTTATTATCGCTCCTCCTCCCTCCGACATTATCCGCTATTCACCTGCTGGAGCACCTGTCCGGTGAGAAGGACGTTCGAAGACTATCTCGATACGCTTTGCAAACACTCGTGCGTCCTTCTCGGGTCTAGTAGGGGATCGTTTTACTTGCTTCTTTATCCTCCAAGGCGCCCTCAAATTTGCTTACACAGGGACAGTGGAATTCGGGCCCATAGCCGGGCCTCTCTCGTTGTTCATTCGGCATCGGGCCGCGCGTATATTATGACACGTATTACGACGCGCATTATGCGCTCGAGGAACGCGTGAAAGTCTAGATTTTACAATGCTTATAAACGAGATCCTCGTTTATCTCGGAAATTCCGGCAGGTTATATGATGGATTATCATCGGCCATTGAATCGCGCCCCACTAACGGCTGATCTTCGCACTGTTTACACATATTGGTTTATTTTTACAATATTATCTGCGCAGCGTGTTTATAAAGGTTGCGCTAAATCAAGTTGACGCCTTCAATCGCAGGTCCTTATTTAATAAAGAGATTGTTTTTAGGGCGTTAGTAACACGCAAGGTGTCCATATCTCCCGCATATCTATTTCAATAAAAGTGTCGGTCCTGTTTATCGTCGCTTTTCTCGTTCTTTTCTTCGTTGCTTTTTTTTCTTCTTTTATTTATTTATTTATTTATTTATTCTTTTTTTTTTGCGCACAAGCCCTCAAGAAAGGGAGGTAATTTCAAAACAATAGGGATCCCTGTAGCAAGGAAACTTCGGTCTGGGTCATTACCGCATAACAAATAAGTGCACGCATATCGAGAGCAATTGGTGGGCGTGAGACGCAATAATGTTCTTCGGCAAGCCAAGCGAGCGTCATCGATTCGTTCTCGCATCCATCTCGGGTCTCGGGGATGCGCGTGGATGGCAGGATCGAGGTCCGGGAAAGGGATGGGGGCTGAGCCGAGGGCTAAGCGCAACCGCAGCACCACGAGGAGGGCAACCTGGGGTTGGCGCGAGAGGCGGTAAGTGCCGGGGGCGAAACGCTTGGCTGGCCATGCGTCGCGAGGAGGTGGAGACGAGGAAGCCGAGAGACAGCCCGAAGAATCACTTGCCCGCGCGCGCGCGCTACAGGCGAGAAACGCTGAAATTAGCCGCGCCGGGGTGGGAACGGACGTGGATGCGAGTCAAGTGTCTCTCGGGCGCAATGTCCCGTGTCCCGGGAGTTACATTCATCTTCTTATGTCGTTAAATTTAATTTGTGCTCGGGCTGCGTGTATAACCGAGTGCCGCATTCACGCGGAAGCTTTTCCTTGTTCTTCTTCCATGTGGACTCTTGCGGCCGGATGCGGGAGCGTTAATCTCCCCGTATCGATGAATTCTCGGATAGTTTCGATGGTTCTAGGTTGGGAAAGCTAGATCGCTTGTACCAAACGACGCTCGACGATGTTGGACCGCTTGTTTATGAATGGATAATCGATCGATGTTCAATATAATTCATGTGCTCTTCTTCACAAAGTCGTCCTATTAATGTCAGTTGTTTTTCTGCTTTCGTCGACAGTGCGCTTTTAATGCTAAGAGCCGCGAATTCGATGGTTTTGTATCGCGAAAAGCAAGCTACGCATAGTCATCGTTATTAAAGCACTGCCAGGGCTTTAGGCATTAAGCTTTCCTAGATTTTAATGAAAATTAAAGAAAGTGCAGCAAAGCTATATATTATAAATGTTGTTTTCAGATGCTATACGTATGGAAATTAGCTCGGGAATCGTTTGAAGAATCAAAGGACTGGTTAAAATTAATCCGGATTGCAACGAATCCTGATGAAGTGAATGTGCGCAAAATTAAAGACAAAGATGGAAATGTAAGATCGTTTTCATTATTTCATTTTCTACTTACCAATATGTTATAGTTCGTTACTTAGGGAGTTTCTGAGAATGGAACCTTTTTGACTTCTGTAGGCAATTATTATTGGTCTGAATAATATCCCGTATGATTATGTTCAGCTTTGTGAGCAAACAATTTGCTTGCTCATACGTACAGTTCTCGCAAAAGTTTGGCAAATATATGGTAAATGAATATAATTATTGTATTTGGGCTGATTAAAAACAAATGAATAAAGCAGAAATTACAATAAAATCAATTATTGACATTTGGGGGTGGCTTAAAGTGCTTTTTACATTCGATAATGTAATTTGCAAACTGTTACGGAAGTAAGTAGCGAGTCAAAACGCAACTGACGTTATGTTTCTATTCGTCGTATGAACGTCAGTTGTATGGAGGGGAGGGGAGAAAAGAAAGAAAAAACCCCCGAAAAAAAAAACATACAATAAAATAATGATTTCGTGCGCTCGAGACTCTGCAGTTTTAAAACGACGAATGATCGTTGAAACGATTTTAACTGATTTAACATATGCTGTTCGTGTTCTGGTGGAATGAACATCCTATATAAACTGTTTCAAACCCCCCGCGATGGACGACTTCCTGATATCGTTCGACTTGGGTAAAATATATGAAGCGGATGTCTTTCCAGCCTCGTACGTACAGCTAGTCCAATTTATATATCTTTTCCACGTAAACAATTTTATCAATTTGTTGTTCATAATCATTGAGAAATTTTCCTTCATTGAAATATAAATTTGTTCCGGCTTATTTATTAGCTCAATTATTACCCAGCTATTTATCTATCTGATTATCTATCTATTTGCCCGTTTATCTATCTAACTACCTAACTACCTAACTACCTAAATAACCTATCTACCTACCTACCTACCTACCTACCTACCTACCTACCTACCTACCTACCTACCTACCCACCAATCTACCTATCTACCTATCTACCTACCTATCTACTTATCTACTTATCTATCTATCTACTTACATACTTACTTATCTATCCATTTCTTAAATTGAATTACTATTATTATTTACTTGCTACATATAATTCCCTATTTATTACGTGTTAATTTAGTACTTGCAACAATTTCTGCATACGTATGCTCAATTTGGTAGTTTGGCAATCCTTTAAATAATTTCATTTTTCCTTACAAAATTGTCAAACTAGTAAATAAGTATATTATGAGCGGAGATGATTGAAATGTTCGTTAAGAAACATATTTTCAAATGAAAACTATGAGGATGAGCTTAAAAATTCAAAAAAAACTTAAAAACTCAAACACATGTTTGATAATTGTTTTCGGCCGTAAAGTTTTTCGGTAATGTCTCCTCACCTTACCCATTACTACTACTCAGACTTTCTAATTGGCCGTCTCTCCAATGAGACGTAATTTCACGTCGGTATGACGCTTTTGGTATCAATGGGACGGCCGATTGTCGCCAAAGTTCTTACATAATACGCGCAAAATGTACGTAGTACGTAAGTGTAATTAATTGACTTGAGAAGCAATTGTCTTTGATGGAACGACTCGATTTGTGTGCAGACGTACTTCGAGGCAGTTCGCAACATAGCAACGAGGGAGGAGCTGCTCTCGGGTTTCCTCGAGCCGTTCGTCCAGCAGAGGCGCCTGAACAACGAGGACGAGAACACAAGCGAATACGGTAAGTTCGTTAAAGTACGTCAGGTGCAGAGCGCGCGCCGAGCTCCTACGAAATCTCCTGCGAAGGGGAAGCCGCGATCGTCGTGACTCTTGGAACGGCTCGAACGCGCCTTTAGGTGCGTTGGCCGTCACGGATGCGTGACTCGGGCGTGATTCACCTGGCCGGCCGTTGAATATTGACCCCCTGAACGGTCAACGAGCGCGGCAAGTCGCCCGTCGCGATTATCGCGATGTTTATCCGGCTCGTTGGGGGCACACATTTTCGGTCACGTTATTGCCGTTATTGTCCTCCCGATCGTCCGCGTTTTTCTCCACGCTTTCCCTTTATTCGACACCCGGAGATTTTTTTTTTCTTCTTTTTTTCTTTCTCCCTTTTTTATTGTTATTATTACTATTATTATTACTATTATTATTATTGTTGTTATTATTGTTATTGTTATTGTTGTTATTATTATTATTATTATTATTATTATTATTATTATTATTATTATTATTATTATTATTATTATTATTATTATTATTATTATTTTATACCGTCGACACACGGAAGGCTGCAGCTATCGCTTACCAATCTGATGAGAGAAATGATGCTCATTGTTTGGGTATAAAGTGAGAGCTGCTTTCTTCCTCGCTCCTCTATCGCGACAAATTTATCTTGCTTCTTCGGCCGCGATCGTAGTATTATTCTATTTCAAATGACGGGATAATCGCGCCGAAGGCTTGGGGAAATTGGGGACTCTTTTCATAAATTTTGTCGAAACCGTAAAAAAGTAGGACAATTTCAATAGAAAATTTACGACACATTGACTATTGGGCTTATCGAGGTTTCCGATATTAGAGATGTCGGATGAAGTCAGCCAGGTTAAGATTATTTTCAAAATTTGCGTACATTTTTCACTAAATTTATTAATAACAGCATTTAAAATTAATAATGAAGCACGTGAAAGATACTGGAAGAAACAAACAATTGTTAATTGTAATTCAATGCTCAGTGGCGTTATCATTTTTAATACTCGTTGAAAATAAATTTAAATTAAGCAACGCGCGTTTATAAGTTTTTTTTTTTTTTTTTTTTTTTAAATAATATTTTCGTAGCGTTATTTATCGCGGAAATTCATCTAAATGTATTACTGTAGCTACAGTCATATTAAAGAATTGTTATCATCAAGGCAATAATCGTGAAATAAAGAAAATAATATCGAGAGATATTTCTTAAATATGAAATTATTTAAAGTCTTGGTGCTTTTGTTTCCTTTATAAAATTTCGCTACAACCATAAAAAAATTAGCACCTGGCAAAAGTTTCACTGGCTCGCCACTTATCTCCTTCCAAATATCCAAAAATAGTTCGCCAATTTAGATGGCTTACGGGGTGAAGCGTCGAGTTGGAAAAGGTTATGCGATATCCAGATGTCGCAGTAATTAAAACTGGGATTATTGTTAAAGTTAATTCGCCCGAGGCTGCGCCCTGGGCTCTGCGCCACTCTTCCACCACTTCTCATTCGCGACTATACTCCTCTTGTCATTTTACGATGTTCATTAAACAAATTGTACATTTTTTTTCGTGAAGCTGTTTGCAAAATTAGTACTCAGGTGAGCGTAGTATTTATTCATTTTACCGTGGTCATATACGCAATATCTTTCATTATTTAAATCTGGAAACACCATGTCATCGTAGTGTAATCAAATATACTAAATTAGTTTGTTGATAGAAGGATAATTTTCTAATTTAACAATGTTATTGGTGGAAATTATCTTAATAAATTATTATTTATTATTAAGCAATAACTGGCCTTTGCTACTAATAATTTCCATATTTGTGCCCTTTTCTCGGTTTTTCTTCCTCCTCCTCCTCTTCTTCTTCTTCTTCTTCTTCTTCTTCTTCTTCTTCTTCTTGTTCTTCTTCTTCGTCTTCTTCTTCTTCTTTTGTTTTTGTTTTTGTTCTAATTAACACAAGTGATGGCAATTAAAATCACTAAAGTTTTTCCAACATATGTGTAAAATGCTTCGAAACAGCTGAAATAATTGCAAGTGTTTGGCAGCGCATAACGTTTGCAACCAATAGCAACGTATTAATTAATCTTCGAAGGAATATGTAATATGCGCGATAAATAGCAGGAGTAAATTTATTTATCTTAGCGTTCGTTCATTAAAATTATTATCGTGCACCGACTGCTAGTGAAGCGTAACTGTACCGGAAACGGTCGCAACCAGTTCCGGGCAAATATTTATCCATAATTCGCTCGAATATTATTATCTGCATCAGAAATTTATTTAGCGAACCCGTGTATATATGGATACATACATTGCTTAGTTCCTTATTGGATACTCTGATCTTGTAATTGTAACGGAAGCCAATTGTCGTACGATTATTTCATTCGAAGATTTTATTAACTGTCTTTGAACAATATCCAAGGACAAGCATTCGGATGCTAAAATTTAACGAAGGAGTCATCTTATTGGAGAACTTACGGTAGTAATTAAGTCGGTCCTGCTGGCAATGTAAATTTCTAAAATTAATTAAACGATTTATGCTTAAATAGCTGCTTCGAAGGGAGACAGAACGACCTGGTCGTTTCATTTACGATGAAATATCACAGCCTTAGTTGTAGCCCAAAAGAATTTTTCTTTTTTTCATTTGGCTTTCATTATCGAGGACAAGTTAGAGAAAACAACTGGATAACTATCGCAAGTAATATACAAAAGGCTTGTGAATTGTCACAATGTAGCGTCCTTCTGCCGTTCGTCTAATTTTGAATTTGTTATTAAAATTATATGGTGCTTCAGAATATCAACAATAAAGGCGAAAGAAAGAATGTATTGTTTCAGTTGTTTGAAGGTAGCAGCTACCAAATGGCAAAAGATAAAAACTAATTTTTAGGGTGACAAAGAAATCATGTGAATACTAAATTGCAGATAGGAATGGCTGTTGGTTACTGTTGTAATGAAATCGATGTTAGGACACTGTTATAAGAATAATGATGTCAAACAGCAAGGAGAAAGGAAAAGGCTGTCCGAATTGTGCAACCCTTGTAGATAGACATAGACAGTGAGAGGGGAGGAGAAAGAGAGAGAGAGAGAGAGAGAGAGAGAGAGAGGGAGGGAGAGAGGGAGAGAACACGGGGCATCTGCGTCGACGTAAAGGGATTTTTCCATTTCTCTTTTTTCCCAGTGGTAGGAGTGAGATAGGCAGGACAGACATTGGAGAAGAGAACTACTTTAATGCGCACGCGCCTTCTCGGGGGTGCAGAATGCTTCTCTCTCTCTCTCTCTCTCTCTCTCTCTCTCTCTCTCTCTCCATATCTCTCATTCCCATTCTGTCGGAGGCCAATGCTCGTACACATATATGTAGATATGTATACTCATTGAAATGCCAACCTCAAATATATAATATTTCGTATGTGCTGCTTCTCATTGTGCCACCGAGCCTTTGTACACAGTCGGGGTTATTCGTCGTTGTTCGCACGTCTCTCTCTCTCTCTCTCTCTCTATCTCACCATGTATATATGTACATATATATCTCCCTCTATCTATTTCTACGAGTACCGTTTTTTGCCTACGTATACACAGAGTATTACAAATATATTTGGATAATGCCTGCAAGATTTTTGTTCCAACACTTGGTGTGAGATAAACATCTGTCCCCTTCGTGAAAGTTCTGTTGATTGACTTATTTTTTCGTTGAATTACAAACTTTACTCTTACACATTAGGAGTATATAACTTGTCCCTCTCCTTAAAATTGCATCGAACATTGCTACATCTCTTATTATATATAGACTATCGGCTCGATTACATAACGTCGTATCGGTTCAAGTTCGGCTGCATACACGTAATATAATTTCCATCCATACACGCAGATTCATTAAAGCATGTCCGTTTTTTACTCTCGTTTTTCTTCTCTATTCTTATAGTTTCTTCTTTTTTTCTTCTCAATAGCCATTTGACACAGTGTAAAAAAGAACATGCAAAAAAAAACGAGCTTTGTATAATTTAAGGCGGTCGCGGACGTTGGTAGGGGAGGTCAGAGGCAGTTTAGCATGAGTTATGAAGCTGATTTTCCGCTACAGTTTTTCTAGTTAAGCTTGTAATAGTCCGCAGGCGCATCTCTGGGTTTATCTCGCGCGCATTGGACGTCTCTATTAGGGTTTCCGATAATTTATGACTCTTATTGTCGATTAGCGCGCGTGTACAACACCGGGGTGTGGGGGCCGGCTCATAGACGACGAGCGAAAAAGCACGAGTGCGCGCCCCGTTTGTAAAAAAAAAAAAAAAGGGGTACCGCACAAAAGGGCACGCGACACTTTTTCCTTTTCACCAAGGGGGTGGCGCACGCCTGCGTTTACGATGCTTTCTTTCGGTACGCAACCCCATCTGATTCATCGAATCGCTCTAATGACATGACTATTTGACGTTTAGTTCAACCACGCCGCTAGTAATGCTCACGATGCATTCACGTGACTTTACTCACGCATCTACAAACAGATATGTGTATGAAATTTATGCAGCATTCATCTTCTCGCCTTTATTTTAAATATATTAGCGCCCTTTTAAGAGAATGCATTGGCATGGATTACCGCGATAGATTTGCCGCGCGTATATTCCGTTCAACCGATTTTCAAGTCTCTCGCACAGCATCCTTCACACAATATTTCTGATTACCCACATGACATTAATCATTTGCTCAAATACTTTGTAATTTTTTTTTTTTCTTTTTTCTTGCCATCCTCTAATTACGAAGTAGCTATAGTTATTAGCCGATGTCTCCTTACACAGCATTGGCGAAAGCTTCTTCGATCGATGCTCTCACATTCGTAATCTCGCATCTTCAAGGTGTATAAGATTGCAAGATGCAAGATCCGGAACAATCGTTAATACTACGAATATACACAATTTGCGCATTGTCTGTGCCGTATTTGGGGACTGGTGACAGATATTCGTATTCGGGGCGTATTAAGTCGTAATAAGCAGGAAGACCCAAATCTAGAACATAAATGCATAGTGTATTAGTGTATTCCAAGGTGAAGTTATTCAGCGATGAATTTCCGTTACTTTTTCCCATGTAACGGCCAGCTGACTTGGCCGCAGGGGGTGTCAGAATTGGATCCCACCTGTTGACTTTACGTAGCGCAGGTTCGTGCGGCTAAAAGTTCTTATTCGTTTGTAGATTAGCATAATTTGTAGGACTGTGTATGCATACGAGCTCGGACCTTGGGAATCCTTTTGATTTATCAACTTCGATGCTTTTATGGATAATTGGGGATGAATGAGTATGAGCCGCCGATGCACGATAATATAAGACCTTTATTTAGACAAGGACTTTTGTCATTGGTTAATATTATAAGGCAGATATAGAGAAAAAGTCGGGTCAATGAGTGCAATGCCGAAGGTAGGTCAAAAAAAAGTCGAATAAGAGACGAATAATTCCCATACAAAGCCCCAACGAAGCACTTCTGCTTATATCAATCGACGGTGATGTGTGTGTGCGCGCGCGCGCGCGCGTGTGTGTGTCTGTCTGTGTGTGTGTGTGTCTGTCTGTGTGTGTGTGTGTGTGTGTGTGTGTGTGTGTGTTCGTGAGTAAACGAAGGGGGCTATTAAAATGATAAAATTTCGTAGTATGGAAGGAATGAATGCTAATTGGAGAGCGGTCCAAATGTCGTTAGAATATCCATGTCGCGTGCGCGTGCGCTATGGGCCTCGTGATTGCGCGCACTCGTCGCATGTGCGCCGACACATCGCTGACATCGCAAATTGATCGCGAGGAGGGCAAACACGGGGGTGGAATGTCGGACGAGTTGACTCGCGCGGCTGATTCTTGCCCGGTTCCCATGAAGGTCCGTTGGGGGTAGGTCGAGCGGCCCGTACGGGGGTCGCCATATGGTGGTGGAGACCCACCCGACAAGTGCACCGGGAGATTTAAATAACCGTTGACTTCGAGATCGGAAGCCACGGCCGCGCGCACTTCCCGCTCGTCCCGGCCCACTTTCCCCCAGCCCGTTATTTATTTACGATTAGCTTGGCGTTTGGGACGCGCTAGATTTTACCGTTTGTACGTTCGACTCCCCGCCACGATATTTCTTCTTGCTTCCCGTCGACTTTTGAGACTTCGGAGTTTCACGTCGAGCACCGAACGCGTTCAACCCTTGCCCGTCCCTACAATTAGAAGAATATATTGTCTGTTGGCGAAGAACTGTTTAGTAAACGCGCGTTGACTTCGTAATGTCCCTGGGGTTAATTATTGGAATATTATTCCATTATGTTGGCGAGTCGTTTTGAATGTTTAATATTGAATTTTTCCACATCAGCATCGCAAGAAGTCATTGTTGTTTTAACTTAATATCAGAGTGCAATTAACACTCGAAAAGCAATTCGTGGCTGTCGAAATTGTGCGTGTGTTTTCTGAGAGCTTGCGCCGGTCGTGACCCGCGGTCCATTATGAACTTAAGGCTTGAGAATTTTATCGATTTTTGGCGAAAATTTGGAATTAACGCGATATTAAAGAGCTTGCGAGGCTAGTTCTAATGGCATATTAAACTCTCAAATTCTGACGGATATTACACCTGTGTTTTGGATTGGTTAAGAGACGACGTCAGTTTTGTCGTAAAGTGCGCGAATGTGGAGTAAAAACGTAGCTGCAGCAGCAGAAGCGCGAGTGAGGGGTAAAAGAGCTTGTGGAGACGAATGGGGAACGTAGGCTTGGATATTTTATTAAGTAGCTGATGCGAGGGAAAAAAGTAGATCGTTAAACATTCAAGACGAAGTGTTGATGAAAAGTTACGAGCGAGTAAGAAGAAGAGACATAAAGATAGGAAGGAAGGAAGAAAGGAAGGAAGAAAGGAAGGAAGGAAGGAAGGAAGGAAGGAAGGAAAGAAGGAAGAAAGGAAGAAAGGAAGAGAGGAAGAAAGCAGACAGGGAAACGGGCAAACAGGCAAGTAGATAAGTAGGCAGGCGCGAGCAGGCAGGTAAGCGGGCAGGCAAAACTAGGAAGAGGGCCAAGGGATTGGTAATGTTCGCACGATTGTTATTCAAGGCGATCGGGCTTGCAGGCAAAAGTCAGGCGGGTGGGCGGACGCAGCGGTCGCCCGGGAGTCGGCACGCGATGTTCACCGGCCATGTGTGGGAAGCGAAGGTGTAGGAAAGACGAAGCGGCGCGATGAGACAGGCGGGACGCGACTCGTAAGTAATGACCCCCCGCGCCGTCAGCGACGTATCCCTGACTACAGCGTTGGTGCGGGGGGGGGGGGGGGGGGGGGGGGGGGGGGTTGCGAGTGCCGTACCCTCGCAGGGGTTGAGGGTGGTTGATGGCGCGGGAGGGGCAATAGGGTGGGGGTGGATAGGGCGGAGGAGGAGGAAGAGGATGAGGTTGAGGTTGAGGGGGTTGCCCCCTCGTAAGAGGGCGCCGATTGGCCGGACGGTCGCTCGACCCCCGCAGCCAATGGCGAGTGAGGGTTCCGGTCAGCCGTCTTCGCGGGTCGACCGAGCAGGGAGTCGTCGGCGATCCCCTCGAGGCCAAAGTCGTGGAGCATCGCCGCTATTATCTGTCGCGCCGGGTTCTCCGTCGGATCGCTCTATATCGTGGAGCTCCGCGTGGCGCCCCGAACTCGAGCGATTCGCAAACGCACCGGCGTCTCGCACTTGGCACGAAGCTGCCGGGGCCGCAAGCACGGCAAGCTCAAGCCCGCGCCGCGCTTACGTCGAGCCCTGGATAACGAGGCCCTTTTGGATTTCTAGCTTCCCAGCACAGTGGAGCCTCTCACGCAGACGAGGACAGGGAGGAAGAAGAGGACGTGGAAATAAGGTGTACGGTCTGCGACAAGCCATTCCAAGATATCGAAGTGTAAGCTTGAACATTATTATTTTATACACACTTACATTATTATTGCCGTGACTCCTCGTCTTTTATATTTTCTTTCACTTTTAATGTCAATAATTTTATGGGGGCTGTGCCGTTCGATGTTTTATATAAAACCAGCGTTAAATGTTTTATCGCTCATTGTACGCAAAATAACGGCCAATAATGGCAGTGTAAAATATTGTTCAAATCGCCGGCTTGTAACAACAAGGTGCTTAATATTTCTAAATTAATCGGCTTTACGGACTTTCGAATATTCTTTTAATTGCAGACTAAGGCCTTATTCATTAATAGTAAAAGCCGTCGTTTCGTCAGCGTGCAGGTAGCATATATATATATATTTTTTTTATTATTATTTTATTTTTTTTTTTTTATTACGATTATCAGTGAGATCGAGTTTGGATATTTAACTCGAAGTAACGAGAGGCGGTCAATTTGTTCGACCCAGCTGCTGGTCGTGTCGGGAGGGGGAGGGGATTTCGAAATGATTGTCAAGGATACCGCGCGAGTTTTCCGAGGAATCGTTGTCCTATCGTTGTTGTTGATTATTCGACGTGGGCAGGGGTTGTTCGGCTGGACAGAGGCGCGATCGGCTGGTCCCGCAGGTGTGTTGGAAGCTTTCGTTTTTGTAATGGAGCGGCGTCACTTAGGTAACGGGAGTCACCGAGGCGGGAGGAGATCGACACGATCGTGGTCGGCTCGGAAAGCACATCGGGCCATCGGTAGATGTGACGGCATCGATAAGTCCCGTTAATTATTAATTAGCCGCGCTGATTGCAGGCGGCGGCTTGGTGTGGTGAGGTACGAGAGGGTAAGGAAAGGGGCGACGGAGGCACTATCGGCCCTAGGGATCGGAAACGGAGAGCCGCGCACGCGTGTCGCGGACTGATCACGCGAGCTTCCCGTAACCGTGGCGGGCGCGTGCGCGTTTACGCACCCGTCAAATGCTTACGAGCCAAAGTCAAAGGCGCCACCCACTCCGTTCGACCCTGCTTTGGCTTCCAATCCCCCTTGACTCGTGTCTTTTCGACTTCCACGGCTTTTCTCACGCTCTCGCCGTCGAGCCACTCTCTTCTTCCCCTCTGACGTCTCACGCACACTTACACACTTACCAATCTTCGTCAGATAATTGTCAGGCAAATTTGGTTGCTCAAAACCGTCTCTACAACCATTATGAACATTATTGGCGCATCTTTATCGAAACATCTTTAAGCCAAAAATAGCCGCAACAAATGGAAATTATCTTCTTCTTCCCACTCCTTCTTCATCTTCTTCATCTTCTTTCTTCAAATGCTGGCAAGATAGAAGATCTAGCTATTATCGCGTATTTTTCATTATACATTCGGGTTTCTCTCCAAGATTTACTTTTGTTTCAAGCTGGCCAGCACGAGCTATCTATTCCTAGTAGATGTGCAAGATACGATATTGGGAAAAGAAGTCGTGTGCGCGCATTCCTAAAGTCTAATCGATCTTGATTATTTTTCTCTTACAAATAAACTTTATTTCTAATTCGCAAAAATTGATAATTGCAATAATTAATAATTTCTCGTTGCAATTATACAATTCTGTAAACCCCTCCCCCCTCCCCTATCCCATTACTAGAAGCAAGCACTTGTATTAACAACGGGTAAATGACTTTGTCATGGGACTTCCGAGAACGTCACGGCAAAGTTCTAGTAATGAAGCGTAACAATAGCAATTGCCGTGCCGTATATGTTTGACACCCCCGTATCGTGTGCATTCGATATACAAGGAGAAGAGGCACCGATGAGCACCCAAGTGCCCAATGTAAGGACGAGCCTCGTAAAAGCTGCCATGCAATTGTCCTTTTATATAGATCCACCGATTACATTCGCTTATCCGTCACGCTCTTTATAGTCTATACAATTGCGTCGCCTATTTGCTAGTCGGCGGAAGGGGTCAGACTCAAATCGACATTTATACAACAATTACCACCATTAAACGTCTCTCGCAATCCATTCTTTTTTTTTTTTTTTGCTTTCTTTTTTCTTCTTCTGTCTTTTACACGAAATTCGAAAAAACATTCAACCGTTTCAAAATTTATTACAGTGTGCACACGCGCCACCGATCATTGCCTACAATCGATAAATGCACATCAGCGCTGGGGATTCGAGCCGCACAGTCGTCTACACATGTCATTATTACACGATTCTTTTATCTCAACGCGCGCTGATTAATAATACGCATTGATACTTGAATTGAAAGTAATGGTGGACGATCTATCGTGTTTTAAATAATAATAATAATAATAATAATAATAATAAATAAATAAATAAATAAATAAAAAAATTTTTAAAAAATAAATAAAGCTAGCTCTTTTCTTCGCAACGTCAACACTTCCAAGGAGCCTATTATGTCTCTCCTTCATTATGCACAGCCATTGCCTTACGTGCTGCATTAGCCTTTCACACTAATTACGCCCACACTAGCTAACATAATCCATTATTATTGGGTAATCGTACGATATGTGATCGAAATAGTCCGGTTCCAAATCACCGTTCCGATTAACGATTTGAATAGATATCCGAAATAATTCGAAATCATGGTCTAACATCATCGGCACAGCAAATATCCTATGTCGTAACGTGGGAGGTGGACAGGACTCGCCGCCAATTGTCATCGAAGGGCCTGGAACATAAAGAGGTTGGGGGGAATGGTGAATGGTTGGCTTGAATGCCAACCATTCACCATTCCCCCCAACCTCTTTATGTTCCAGGCTCAACAATCACCTGGTGATCTGCCACCGGTATCCGGCCCGCGAGCACTGCTGCTCCAGCTGCCCCAGCGGCTACGCCTGGCGACCTCTACTCGTCCGGCATCGCGCCATCGTTCACGGCGACATACGCAAGTACCCCTGCGAGAACTGCTCCAAGGTACGTAGGCGCCTCCTCGTCGCCGGCGCCCTCCACAAGCCCACACTCTAATCCGAGCCCCACCTATTCAAATTTTCGCTAATAGCCGGACGACCCGCAGGTCTTCACCGATCCCTCGAACCTCCAGCGTCACATCAGGGCCCAGCACGTCGGCGCCCGCAGCCACGCTTGCACCGAGTGCGGCAAGACCTTCGCCACGAGCTCCGGCCTCAAGCAGCACACCCACATCCACAGCAGCGTCAAGCCCTTCCAGTGCGAAGTCTGCTTCAAGTCCTACACCCAGTTCTCCAACCTCTGCCGGCACAAGCGCATGCACGCCAAATGCCGCATGCAGATCACCTGCGTCAAGTGCAGCGCCCAATTCAGCACCGTCACCTCCCTTTCCAAGCACAAGCGCTTCTGCGACTCGACGCCCCCGCCCCCGCCACCGGTACCCGGTATGTCGCAGCCCCAGCCCCAGCACAACCCCTTCCTCTTTCCACGGCAGCCCCTGCCCTTTTACCCGCCGGTGGCCCTCGCTCTCCCGCGGTGCGGGTACCCTCCCCGGCCTGCCCCTCCTCTTCCCGCCCAAGGCCGCCGAGGAGCCCGAGCGCGGCCCCGGACCCGCTCCGCCGGTGCCCCCATCCGCGCCCCCGGCACCCAGCAAGGTCTCGCCCTCGCCCGCGGCCGCCGAGGAGGCGACCTCGAGCCTGAGGCCTTCGCCGGCCCGGCCTCCTCCCGCGCAACCCGAGCCCGAGACCGAGCCAGACTCCGAGGTCGAGCCCGATTCTCAGCAGCCGCTTGATCTGCGCGTGCAGACGCGACGACGCTGGATCCCGCCCGAGTCCAAGTCGGACTCGAAGCAGCTGCCGCCGCCACCACCACCGCCACCGCCACCGCCCCAGCAGCACTCGCAGCAACTGCAGCAACAACAGCACTCACAGCAACAGCAGTCCCAACATCATCAGCATCAACAACAACAACAACAACAACAGCAGCAGCAACACCAGCAACACCAGCAACACCAGCAACAACAGCATCAGCAACAACAGCAGCAGCATCAGCAGTCTCAGCAACAGCAACAGCAGCAGGAGCAGCAAGCGGAGCCCGAGCCAGCCTCCAAGAGGCGGCGGCGACGGAGCGAGTACTCGCCGCCGATCATCGGATCCGAAGAGGCGAGTCGACCTACGGCCTCGCTACAGGCCCCACTAGCGCCGCCGTCTTCGACCACCGATACCAAGGAGCCAAGCAGTCCCGTGACTAGGACCCCGCCACCACCCCCACCACCGCCGCCGCACATGGCCTATCCGCGGCCCATACATCCGCTCTTTCTCGAGTCCATCTATCGCAAGCCTTCGAATCCCTTCCCCAGCTTTCCAAGCGAGCACCGGCTTCTCCAGCCCCTACCCGCGTACGGACCCTCGCGCGGGCTACCCTTCCTCGGGCCCCTCATGAACGGCCTCGGGGGCCCGCGACCAAGCGGTTACGACGTACTCTCGCGGCCGGCTCTCGGTGGTTTCCCCGGCGTCAAGCCTTTCCAGGATCCGCTGTTGGGCCAGCAACCGCCAAGCATCGCCGGGCCCTTCGGTGGCCACGGCAAGATCAAGGACCGCTACTCCTGCAAGTTCTGCGGAAAGAATTTCCCGCGCTCGGCAAACCTCACGCGCCACCTGCGCACCCACACCGGCGAGCAGCCCTACAAGTGCAAGTACTGCGAGCGCAGCTTCAGCATCTCGAGTAACCTGCAGCGCCACGTGCGCAACATTCACGACAAGCAGCGGCCGTTCAAGTGCCCCATGTGCGAGCGCTGCTTCGGCCAGCAGACGAACCTCGACCGTCACCTGAAGAAGCACGAGGCCGATGATGGGAGCGGCGTCGTCTCCGTTGCCGACTCGGCCGACAGCAGCAACGAGAACGATCGCGAGGAGACGGCCACCTATTTCGACGAGATCCGCTCGTTCATGGGGAAGGTAACTTACGGGGGTGACGGCTCCTACCTACCACCCCACCATCCGGCTTACCTGCCCAGCAGACTGCGAGAGGTGCATCACGGGACGCGCGACCTCGAAGATCCCGTCGGGGCCAAGGCCAAATACGAGGAGGATGAAGACAGCGAGGACGGAGCGCTCTCGCCCCTAGAGCAACCCGAGGGCCTCTCGCCCAAGGAGTCCTCCTCACCAGGGCAGCAATTCGAGCTTAAGCTTGGCGCCAAGCGCGAACTCCTCAATAACAATACCGCCGAGCCCGTGATTGAGATCTCGACATAGTGGAGGCGCACCCCAGAAGACGGTACTCCCAACCGTCGTCTACGATTAATAAGTTGGAGTTCGCTGGATCGCGGAACGAGGGGGAAGGGACGGGGATTGATTTGACGCACAGACAAATGGATTGATGGACGCGAACGAGCGAGCCACCCAACGAACCAACCAACCAACCAACCAACTAACCCAACCAAACATCCAAACAATCAATCAAACAAATCAATAAAGTAATAACCAATCAACCAACAAATCATGCGATTAATCAATCAATCAACTAATCATCCAATCAACCGAGCATCAACCAACCAATCAACCAACCAAACCAAACAACCAATCAATTAATCAATCAAACAATTATCCAATCAACTGAGTAATCAACCAACCAACCAACCAACCAACCAACCAACCAACCAACCAATCAACCAACCTACCAACCAACCAATGAATGCTCGTCGCTCTATCCGAGTATTATTTATTCTATTTAATGTTAACTGTGTGTTATTATTGGCAGATGCAGATTCGTTGTTGATTAGAGAGCGATTGGGCTGGCCGGGCGGGGGATGGGAAGAGAAAAAAATTAAACGATTCGTTCCCGATTAGTGACTAAGTTATTTTGTTGTTATTAGCGAAATGGCGAGCTCGCGCTGCCGACTAAAAATTGAATCAAATTCCATTGGCTTGAATGAAAGATTCTTCGAAATTAACTTAGTCAAGTGAAGCCAAAGCATTGGATGGATAAATAATAGAGGTTAACGAGAGATGTAAAATTATCCGCGATTAACAAACGACTGCGACATGTACAGATCTTTAATATTAAGCGATATATAACGACGTTTGTAAAAAGTCCTCGTAATTTTTAATGATTATTGACGCACACACGCACGCACTCACGCGCGCACCAAGGTATATATATATATATATATATATATATATATAGATATATATGTATGTATGTGCATATATATATATATATATATATATATATATGTATGTATATATATATATACATATATATAAATGCACATGTGTATTATGTGTGTGCGTTTGTGTGTGTGTTTGCGCGTGTGCGTGCACACGCGTATGCATATACATACATACATAGAAATGTGAATATTATTTGAAAGTTTTAAAATGCAGCGTAGAGAGTTGAATTTTAGTGGATGGAAAATGACACAAATGAATTATATATTATAATTGTTCGGTGCGATATTATTGTGATTCAACTATATAATAGTTGCAGTTTATAAATACAATAAGCACCTGAATTTTATCTGTGTAACTAGGAACACGTTAAGGATTAAACATTTTTATGCTCGATTACTTTTAAAAAACATTATTTACACCTTTTTGCAAAAAGTGATAAATGAGATTGCACACATTTTTACATAAAATCCTATAAGTATGTACATGTTCTTCAAATAGCTCTTTATCTCTTTTTCTGTAGGCGATATATTCTTACGGTTTACGTAAGCGTCATTACAATTATAACAATTACATAGTAAATATAATTATCTATAAATATTGTATAGAAACCTCCATAATACATTAATTGCTATTAAAAAATTACACCGGAATTTATTATTCTTATATTGTTCTATTCTTCCTACACCTAATTTTTAATTTTATAACCGTTTTTTTTTTTAAATTTATTATTATCAATAAATGAAACTTTGAAAACGCATACTTTTAATGACTTACTTTCTTAATGTGCATCGTTTTATTGAAGAAAAAGAAAAAAAAATTCTCTTCTTTTTTTTTTCCTTTTTTTGTTCACTTCCAAACAATCGTTGAACGCATTCTAAAATAAATACTCAATGCATAAATATCTTGATACTCGAAAGTAATCGTATCGTAATTACCGAACTTTACCGTTTGTAGGGTACAAAATTTTTGTTCAATCGGGGGAGCGCACCATCTATCGGCAAAATTTAACAACATCCTATGCGTCCTGCGGTTGGCAACGGGAAAAGCCTTTGATGCAACATCGATAACAAGTTATACGCGCTTAGTTATTTACAGACAATGATAACACAGAAACAAGTAAATCGGTCATACAATCAATTACCAATTACAACCAATTGGATTCATTAGTACGTAGTGGTATGCGCGTGGCTCTGCTGGTCATCGGTAAGCACGGCATCTGTACGAGCACGAGGAGAAAAATTTTATCCGTATGAGGCGTCCCATACAGATGGCGCTGCGTAGTATTTTATAAACTCTCGGGCCCAACGCGAAAACAATAAACAAGAGGTAAATGAAGAAGACGTAATATCGTATGCAAGTTTTGCCGCAGAATTCGGTTTGGAAATATGAATTCTCGTCGCTTATACGCTGCATCGACGATGCATTAGAGTGAGTCAGGACGGAGACGTAAAGCCATTACGCGCTGAAGTTCAGCTGTGTACGCAAGACCCGATGATTCCCTGTGAAATTCGAAGCAGACGCGATGTGCGGTCGCGCGCACTCAAGGTAAACAATAACGAGAGTGGGAGGAAGAAGAAGAAGAAATTTAAAGAGCCAAGGCAGCTTTATTTATCAACGGCAGCAAAAGCAACAAAAGGTCTGCCCGATTTATGTGCTGCCCAGATAGACTCTCGATGAGGCAACATTTAACGCGCGAACGAACATTATTGCCAACAGTATATTTGACAAAAAACGTTAGCGAGCTAATCACGAAATTCCAGCTCGCGTTCGGGAAATCGTTGTACCACTGCCGTCGCGCGCGTCCGCGACTACCATTAGAAAGTGGAAAAAATCAATGTACGGAGAGTAATGGTGTGACGCTGTTGATACACACCTCGGCAACATAAACAACTTGTCTCTCGCCACCCAAAACGCCCAACCATCACGTCCATTTACTCTATTTGGTCTTTTATCATATTATTGATTACCTTTACCATTAGAATAGAATGAGACTTGCATGTCGCTGCCGCCGAATGCAAAATAATTCGATGAAAAATAACCCGAGTAGCGCTAAACGGATTCGATTTCGGAACATCGGATGAGCTATTCCAGCGAGTATATCCATACATGAACATGGAATACGGGGACACGATTAAGCTTCGTTGCATTGATGAGGGGAATGGATGAGGGGGATTGGTAGGGGGGGAGAGGGTGTGTGATTAAATAGGAATGGATGTTATAGCGCTTGGCTCGAGTCGTCGTCCCATACACGAGCTCACTTCCGTTAATTGAAGGGAAAAACCGGCTGGATCGTTGAAGAATTCGATTATGAAGGATGAATGGAGATGTAATAAGGGAGGTAAAGGAGTAAAAATTGCCTAGGTTATCGCTCGTAATAGCTGTAATAGCTGAATGGCTGAAAAGAATTTGAGGTACCGGGGAGCAGCATGGGTATTGTGAAGCGACGTCGCGCTCGTTTTTGCCACTTAGGATGACATATGGTTGGGCAGGAGAAAATCGAAAGCACCTGTCGATGGAGGCTGGAAATTCAAACGAGCAGTTGGAGGCGAGTAAATGCGATGGAAAAGTAAGGGAAAAACAAATGGAAAAGAATTGGGAAAAGTGAGCGGCTGGAAGGCGCGTCCAGTGCTACCCGCCTCTTCGCAACGTAGCGCGGAGCGTCGGGAAAATTAGCATAAAGTCGACCGGATTTATAGGCTACTCCACGCACAGGCGTTTGCGTGTGTTTTATATGGACGCGTTAGCCGGTCACAACGCATGCAGAGTAAAAGGAGTGACCGATTGATCGTTTGTTTTATTGTGTTTGAGTAAGTAGTCGAGGTTCTCCGCTGGAACGAGAATAACGCACCGCGCGTTAACCGCTAAGGGAAATAATATCGCAGAGAGCGGCAAATTAGCTCGGAATCGTTAGTTAATAAAGTCCTTAATCGAATGTATCCTCTGGCATATTGTCTTTGTATAAATGAGCCGGTACGGCTCGTAGCTGTTCAATTTGCAAATTAGGGTTGCAATTGCATCGATTGGGCGTAAATTGCCGTATTGTACGTTATGAAAGTAAGCGAAAGATGTGTTTTCTGAAAGACAAGTTCTCCTCGCAGAGTTGTTATTCAAATTGAAATTGAAAAGCCGCGAGCCCATTGAATAGCAAAGTAGCGCAAAATAATGCACGTAAAATTTAGTGTTTCGCATAGTCCATAATGTTTACAAGACAATTCCTAAGGTTATTCATAGACTATTCTTCGTACGTGAAAACAAGGCACTAAAGATGACTCGGATATTTAGGTTTTTTTCTACTTTTTTGTTTTGTTTTGTTTTGTTTTGTTTTTGTTTTTTTTTCTTTTTTTCTTTTTTTTTTTTATACATATAGAGAACAAACCTTGAAGATCAACAGCTGTATTATGTCTATTTTATATGTGGTTCGATAGAAAAGATTTCACCCATTTATGAGAACAATAAGCGTGGAGTTTAAGAATTCAAATATCTGCCGATAAGTGAAATAATGTTAGTTCCTTAGAATACGTTAAGTAGTTTACTCTTTAATAATGTTTAGAAAGCATTTGTTGTTGATTTATTTCCCATTTAAGGCCTCTCTTCCAACGTCCGTGTACTTTTCTTTTAGGCCCAACTGTTTTGGTATGGTATCATTTTCTTTTCTTTCATTATTCTTTCTTGCATTATCATTTTTCGTTCATTTATTCTACTCTCCGTCTTATGCTAACGTTACGTACTAAATTAAAACTATCATTAAAACGAAGAAATAGAGAATAATCATTAGCCGATTAAGAAAGAATGTTTCTATGTTGATCTATATAAACAAGGATGATTAAATAATCACATATGATTATATTTTGATGTACGATACGATGATATAGAAAAATGATTTATTTTCAAATATCACGATACAGTGGAAATTGTAATTGAAAATAAAATAAAAAAAAAAAAAAAAAAAAAAAAAAAAAAAAAAAATAAGAAAAATCTTTAAATCTTTAATCGAATGCAGTGGCATGTCAGTGCTCATTCGACGCCTCCTTCCACCTCCTGTCCGTATGTTATATAATTTTAAAATTGCACCGAACTTAGTTTCTAAGCATATCTTACAAATTCCATCAGGATTCGTAAATGAAAATATAACTGTTAAAGGCTCTTCTTTTATGCAGACTCGCGTTTAAAATTTATCCGGTAGATTTCTCGGGAATTCCGTTGGTTTTTAGATATCACCACAAAATACACAGAAC